GTCTTATCGGCAAGCGAGTGTGTTTTTGAAATTTTACGTGAACGTTGTAATAACAGCGGACGATAGGTACAAAGAAAAGAAAGGAACTCAACACGTCCCTTAAGTGATTCGGGTTAATAGGACACTCCTCGACAGTCTCAACACGACTGCTTCGGAGTACGGGTAATGGAGAGCTCAACACGCTCTCCGGGTAACGGCGGTATGGAACAACTTGTGAACTCAACACGTCCACAAGCCGGGGTAGGGAAGAAGAGAACCTTCAGTCAACACCTGTCGATTCTGCCTCTATGAGGAAATGTTGCGGTTTATATAGCAAAGTTTTGCCCTTTCTACTGTCGATACACTCCTACTTCATGGGTTGGTTCGCGCGCACGCTGGTTTAACGGTGATGGCTTGGACTCATCGTTACAAAACTGAGTGTGAATGTTCTCTTTGCAAAAAAATCCTTAAATATTATGGTAGTATCACCAATTTAAAGAAGCAGTTGAAGGTCCATATGACCACTCTTCCAATGTAACTATGTTTGATCAGTAAACCTTCGTGCAGCCGAACCACAAAAGATGTAGCCGATCAACTTAAAACTCAAGACCTAGCACCCTCCGAAATGAAGAAAGCAATTAAGATTATTTGGAGGTCCCTGCACTACTGAACTTAATGATAACTTAAAATGTAAAACAGTGTACTAAAAATTATTGGTTTAGATTACCATCCATTTTCATTTGTAGAAAATAGGGAATTTGGGGAGTTTGTTAATAAGTTAAACCTCATGTATAAAATTCCAAGTAGAAAATATTTAAGCAACTTGCCACTGTTTCTGATGGAATGAATTTATTTATATCTTTAGGACTTCTTTGAACCCATGCCACTTTTACAATCAGATTTTATTGATAAGTTGGATAACTATTTGAAACTCTTAATTCTTCATCACCCAAATCAGCAAGACGTTAAAATTTGCCTTTCTAAGTAAATACCTACCAAATGGATTTCCTTATTGATTGTTTTGTAACGACTATTTTGCTTACCACAGGGTAAGAATATGGGGGACAAGATTGGGCAAACAAAATAATCGAAACAAGTGCTTACGGACACTCAGTTGGTTGTTGGAGAGCTGGGTCGTGGATAAGTTGAAGATATTGGAGGTTGGATTGGGCAACTACAAAAAAAAGAAATAAAGGGGTACTTATACAAATCTCTTGGGACAAACAGAATGAAAATTAACGGAAACACCTCAAGAAATTTAATATAGGGCGCCACTTGAGGTGCCCAATTATACCTATTACAACCACTAGTTGTAACTAGGGAAATAATTGTATAACATCAAAAATATAGAAAAAAAATATCTTTTTCAAATAAAACTGAAAATAGATCAGAGAAACAAATTAATCATTTATTCTTGTCTCAAACAAAACAGATCAAAAATACATATTATAAAAGAAACATATCATATAACATAATACAAATAACAAAAACTTACATGTTCTTTGTTTACTATATTATGGCCAATTAGATTATCAAAAATTAAGGATCCTTCTTAATGAAAACATATAAATTTAACCTTATATATGAAATATCGTTTCTACATAATAATCAAATTAAAATTGTCATAACAAAAAAACAAATTAAGCTTGCTGTCAGGTATCACATTTAATTTTGATGACAAAGAATGAAAGCAATTATTACTTTAGCCAAAAAATATCTGTCTTTACTTTGAAAGATTAATATATTGAATTGTTACCTTAATGTTTTTTTTTTATACAAACACTTTGAAACTTTACATCTCTGGGGAAGCTACTCGGACAAAACTTTCAAAACTGGAAGGCAGCAACCATCAGGATTTAGTTCTACACTCCAGGACAAAACGATTGGAACAGGAACTTAGTGGAAGAAATAAGCCGACTACGGGGACATCCTATATCATACTTTAAATATTTTCCATATTCTGGTATCTGCACAAATCCTTTAAATATTTAGTGGCTACCCTTTTCTAAATCTGTCATATTACAGAGAGTAATTGTTCCACTATTTAACAAAATTTGTCGACTTTTGCAAACTACATAACTAATACGTTTGTCCTGTTTGAAATCTCTCAGTCGACCCTATTGTCACATGTCTGCCCCGCTTGGAACTTAAATCTCGACTCCCTTTTGCTTCGTTACATTTTACCAGAATCTAGCCAAAAATTTCCCTTCCGTCTTGCAGCTAACCTGTCCCCACAAACTCAAGAACCAAAACAATATCCCCTCGCTTGTATCGACAAAAAAACCTTTTAAATATTCCTTTATTGCGTTTTTAGACGCCAGTATTGGTGTCCTAAATAAACAAATATTCTTTTTGACTCTCATTCTAATAACGAAAAACAACTTTAATATTAGGGGAATTCATGGTTTATTGCGTTTTTAACGAAGAAAACAAATAAAACCTTTTTTTTATCAGGGGGCATCATAAATTTACATAATACAAATTAACAAAATACGTGCGTATTTTAAACTTGAGTTTTACCTGGTTTATAACAAAAGGTTCGATATTTGAATGTAAACACCGACAAAAAAACATCTATATTTACTTTTGAATCGGTAGAAATATACGCATTTAAAAATCTCGTCAAAAAAACTTGAAATATTTACAACGTACCTACATTTAACTTTATTGATCGATTTCTTGGTAGAAACAACAGGGACGTACCACAGAAATCTTTTATATACACTTTAAATAAAAAAACGCTACAGTTTAAATTATTTTATACGACAACGGTATTAAACAAAAAAGGGGGTGCTGTTACCAAAAAATTACCAAGTACAAGAGGTTGGCATATAACTATTAGAGGAATAATTAAATAGAATGGTAACTGTTTCAACCCGACGCCAATTCAATTTGTGAGGAGTTTTAAAAAACTATTTTGTTTGAATATGTTAAATTCGGCATCAGAAACTTGTGAAGGAGATACAGATGCTGTCGTTTTAAAAATATCTGATTTGTCGGAAGAACAAGAGGATTTAACAGTTTGTCCAACTTCTCAAGTAATACAAATTCTTATTGCAACTCTCATTGATACTGATTATCAAAAGAATAGCATATTACAAACAAATCCAGTCAGCTATGTATGCGAGCACTTAATCTAAAAGTGTTTAAATGTTCATTCATGTCATGAATGCATAAAGCATGCCAATAATTATAAACATCTTGATGATACACGCTTATTGTGATATTTTAAAGATTTAAACACTTTTGGAAACCTTTCTATGCCAAGTAACGCGTTTGTTTTTTACATGTTTTATGGAGAATCAATTTTGAAAAATTGTCCAATACTCAAGGTGTTTGCACAATTTGTAGCCCGTTTTAAGAAATTAAGTTTATTTATAAAGTCTTAAAGTAGACTAATATTTTGGTTTTTAAAATATGCAAATAGAAATTTTAAGAATATTTCAACAAACGAGAAAAAATCAAAATTAATTATTTGGACTTTTCAAATGTTTTAATTTATTTAATTTTTTGTTATTTTAATTTACTGTACTTGCTCTGTGTTTATAAATGTATAGGGTGTCTCGTAATGTTATGTATATTTGTCGAATAGTCCTCTGATCGACAAGCTTATACAATTTCCTGATTAATATGAATAACAACAAATGAAAACACATAACATGATTATAATAAATTTTAGGAGTACTGCACGAACAAGTAAAAATAAATATTTGCAAATAAAATTTTATATGATAATTTTTGACAATGGTGGTTTTAGATATGGATGAATGAATTTGGTAACGTCAATTTGTTTGTAGTATTCCCATGATTTTGTGGGAATAACTAGAAAATTATTCGTGTTGCTGAGAAATTAATTTATGTTTCGAAATCTTAGTACAGTGGACTCCCTCTATAACGAGAACTTGCGCATACATATGAATATGTAGTTTTCTAAAACATTAACTTTCTTTGAATGGTGTTTTTGAAACAAAAGTTGTTTACTTTTATTGTCAATGATATATGGTAAAACAAAAATCTGTATTCTGTAAATCTGTATTCTGTAAATCTGTATAAAGCGTATTTTCAAGGATAACATAAACTGTTGCTTCTGCAATTGGAAGAAGTCTGTAATGTTTGACTGCTTTAAATTGTTCAGTATTCTATCTATCATATTTTCTAAAGATGTGAAACAGTCAAATGCTTAATGCTTCTTCATTTGCGTTATATATTTGGATAAAATTTCTTATAACTTATAAAGCACTTTTCACATCTTTATTAGGACCTTCTTATTTTAGGTGCCAATGGTCAACACCTACATGAGACTTTTACTAGCTACTTATACATATATAGTCAAAGTATAATTAAATAATTTAAAAATGTGTAAACGCAGTCCAGTGTGGGTTTTTTTACTATTGTAGATGAAATTAAGCAGATTGTAAAGTATGATATGTGTAAAGATGTACTATCATATAAACATAATGTATCTAATTAAAAAAAACACAACTATTACGTAAACATCCTACAGTAAGTGTTCCAAGCAATACGTGTGGTAGTTCCAGTTCCAGTGTCGAAACCATAAATACCAACAATGAACTAACCGAAGCTGTAGTTCTACAAAACGAGGATGAACAGCCATCTACATCAAAATTAAGTAACCCCAGTAGCTTACAACTTACATTAAAAAAAAAATCAGAATAAAATTACCCAATTTGTAATTCCAACAAAACTAAATCAAGATAGGAAAAAAAACTTGATAACTGCCTACTCGATTTATTTGTGCTTGATTACCAACTATTTTCAATAAGTAGAGGACTCAGGTTTTCGAAAATTTATTTTTGCATTGAATCTCTCATACGCTTTACCGACAAGGTATACTATTTTTAAAAGTTTGATTCCAGCAGAATACGAAAAAGTATTGGGAGAATGCAAGAAAAATATCGGTAACATTATGAGTGGTTGTTTAACAACAAATTGCTGGAGCTCCTAGATATAATGATAGTATAATGGCAATAACAGCTCATTATATTGATGAAACGTTTATTATGAAGTCGTTACTTTTAAGTTGTCAAATTTTAGATACCAATCATACAGCAGTCAGTTTAGCACAAAGACTGAAAGACGTTGTTAATACTTGGGGTTTAAACAAAATAACATTAACTGTGTCGGGCAATGCAAGTAACATCGTAAATGCAGTCACCGAACAATTAAATTGGAAACATTTAGGTTGTGTCGATGTGGAAAATTTATAATGGAAAACATAAACACTCATGCCAATAAGTATGCTCTAAAACTGAACATCAAAAAGACTAAATTCATTATTGTAACAAAGAAGCTATACACCAATGTGAATTTACATATATCCGGTTTTTTTAGGCGTTACGCCCGTCCGGTAGGGATCTATGGAGGAGTATCACCGAGCCGCAAGCCCTTATCTCTTGCCGCACTGCTCCACCATAGGCCGATCAGACCCCAGCATATTCTAGTCTAAGCCGCAGATTCATCTAGAATTTTAAACTGCTGCGTTAGACTTTTTGTTTTCTGTACACCGAGCTGGGGCTCGATCCCACATCCACTGAACCATTCGACAGTGAAGCTAATGAGAGGCAGCCGCACAGCCCGCTGAGCTGTCTGACCGACCCAATGTGAATTTAACCATAAATAATCAGCCAGTTGAAAGAGTAACGTCCTACAAATATTTAGGGGTTTGCTTCACTGATACTAATGACCAGACAAGAGCAATCAAGAGGCGAATAGAGATAGCGAGACAATCGTTTGTCAAAATGAAAAAGTTCCTATGCAGCCGGGACATAAATATAAACTTAACAACGAGAATGTTTAGGTGCTATGTTTTCTCCGTTCTGCTGTACGGCATGGAAGCCTGGACACTGAAAAAGATAAACCTCAAAAACATTAAGGCATTCGAGATGTGGTGTTACAGGAGAATGTGAAAAATACAATACAAAATACAAAAATAAAATTTCAGGGAGTGGTATGGGTGCAGTTCAATACAGTTGTTCAGAGCTGCAGCCAACAAAGTAAAGATTGCTGTGATGGTAGCCAACCTCCGATAGGAGACGGTACTGCAAGAAGAAGAAGGTTGTGTCGCTCATACACTAAACTTAATCGTTCAAAATTCATTAAAAATCGTTGAGCCATTGATTTCTAAAATAAAGAAGCTCGATGTCTAGTTCAAAACTTATTCAGTATCAAATACAATCTGGTATTGAACAGCCAAAAAAAACCAAGATGTTTCTACCATATGGAATTCAACATATTTTATGTTAAACAGATTTGTTGAATTATAAAATTGTGTTCGAGCAACTGTAGGAATTGTTAACCCTCCGTTCATCGGGTGTGGTCTATGAGTCTACGACAAAATAAAAATTTTGGATAATTCTCTTATTTTATTATTTTTTTTTAATTTCTACCTTGTCAGTACCTTCCTAGAAACTAAATACCATTAATTTTTTTTTATACAAAACTGTTTTTGAAATTTCTAAATAGCTGCTGCATGGCCGTTTGTCCTGACAGACCCCACCCGATCTAATGTGTAATAATATTTGCACTGCTTCTTAGTTGTATTTTTCTTGCAATCTTGTTTAACTTGGCAACACTGTGCATTTTTGTGAACTGAATTATTCGGTTGTTCAGATTTTGCATTTAGCAACGATATTCCTGACGTATCATATATACCGAAGAAAGGAAAAAAGGTGATTGCTGTTTCCACTGTGCACAGAGATGATCGGATTTATGAAGATACTGAAGATCAGAAAAAACCAGAAATAATTACTGTTTAAAATTCAACAAAGAGTAGAGTTGATGTTGTAGACAGAATGATCACATCATATGTTTCACGAAATACGAAACGTTAGCCAATGGTAGTAGTTTATAATCTCCTTAATCTCGCGGTATTTGTAATTTACAAAGGCAACAACCCAGATGAAGAATTTTCCAAAACGCGAAGATTATTCCAAAAAAGCCTAGGTATGGAATTGGTACAGGAGAGTATACGACGAAGAGCAGTTAACATGCATTTGACAAAAGATGTGCGTGCTTCGTCTTGAGACTCTCAGGCATTGAGGTCGACGTTGTACCAGAGCCCCAGCCAGGTAAGAGAGGAAATTGTAAATATTGCAAAAGAAGCAAATCTCGCGTTTTTTGCAAAATTTGCAAATCCTGGCCATGTATGGACCACAATAATGGCATGCTGCAAAGAGATCTTAGAAAATTTGACTGCCAAAGTTTGACCACTGTAGTTTGTGTCCACAATTTAATTTTTTAGTTTATATATGTTTTTGTAGTACTTTGTTTATTTCTAATTAAAGTTTTAAATGTTTTTTTTTTGTTATTTTCATTAATTAGTCGCTGTTCACAAATTTGAAATAATATGCGTTGAAATTGTATACATTTTTAAAATTTACCTAATACAACTTAAAAAATTTTTGGATTTGTTTCTGTAATAAACATTATATAGTAAATGATTTGTTTAAAACACGTTGATGCGAAATTAGCAATAAAATGTATGCTGTTGCTCGGCAGGCGGTATTTCATTTTGGTCATCACAGACCACACCCGACCGAAGGTGTTTCAGAATGGTCACCCGATGAACAGAGGGTTAATGAAAACTTGCCAATTTTAACGACAGAAGAATGGCAAATAATCAAGGAGTTGTGTGAAGTTTTGTGTCGCTCTGAAGAAGCAACAAATTCAATGAGTGGGGAATCATACATTTCTGCCTCGGTGGTAATTATTTTAACTCAAGGATTACTTAATGTGCATGGAAAGAATACAAGAATACAATTAGAAAACTATAATGTTCTTTCGAAAAGTGTTTTGCAAAGTCTTCAAGAAGGTTTAACCTTTCAGCGCGCGTGCCTACATAAATTTTATGACAATTTAACAAAATAGTGTACGCCACTGTTATTCTAAATTTAGTTGCTGCCTAACACTTTTCTATTCTTGAAATGACCCGTTAGGTACGATGTGGCAGGTAAATTTGGTTGGTTGGATACTGAATTTAGTTGTTGTGAGATATTTGAATGAAGAGGAACAGTCATCACAAATTTTATAGCACGCGAGTTTTGGAGTAATTATTTTTATTTATGTACGTATTATGATCTTAAACAATTTTATTTCGCTTATTTGCATTCTGTATCAAATTTAAGTTTAGAAATTAAATAATAATAATAATATTGATATTGAATTTTGTTTTTTTTTCAGATAAACCAAGAAAATGTCTAAACGTCCTTTGTCAACAGAGGAGATTGCTTATTTAGCTGAGCATTTATGGGATGAAAACGAAAAGGAGTCAGATCACGCTGTGTCTAGTGATAGTGATTTCTCTGAGGAGTATATAGAAGAAGAAGATGTGGACAGTTGTTCTGAAGAGGGATTATCCGATGGTGAATCCGTAACAGCTTCATTTTCTGACTATTATGTAGCAAAAGATAAAACTACCAAATGGTACAAAATGAAAACGGCAACTTCATCGAAGATAAAAAAAATTAACATTGTAAAAGAGCAGCCTGGTGTCACTCATAGAGCCCGAAATATCAATAATGAGCAAGAAGCCTTTTTGAAAATAATAGACATTGACATGATCGACAATATTATATGCTGCACTAATAAATATATTGCTGAAATAAGAACACGTCAAGTATATTCTAGAGAACGAGACTGCAAGGATATAAACAGAAACGAGTTTATGGCGTATTTAGGGTTGCTGATTTTGATTGGGATAAAAAAATCGCATTTTGCAAATGTCAGAGAAATTTGGGCAAGCGACGGAACAGGAATTGAGATAACAAGGGCTGTTATGAGTTACAAACGATTTTTGTTTATAACAAATTGCTTGAGATTTGATGATCGCACAACCAGATTTGAGCGCCGCAAAATTGACAAATTGGCTGCAATTCGTGACTTTTTTGATGCATTTGTGACCAATATTCAAACATCCTTTAAACTTGGTGCATACGTTACAATAGACGAAATGCTTCACCCTTTTCGAGGTCATTGCAGTTGGGTGCAATACATGCCAAGCAAACCAGCAAAATACGGCATCAAAATGTACGCTTTATGTGATACAAAGACATGCTATACTTCAAATTTAGAAATATATTGCGGCAAACAGCCCAATGGTCCGTACGTTACATCCAACTCACCAACTGACATTGTAAAGAGACTTGTTTCTTCGATAGAAAATAGCAATCGAAATCTTACTACCGACAACTACTATACTAGTATCCCACTTGCTAATTATTTACTGCAAAAAAATATCACGTTAGTTGGAACTTTGAAAAAAAAATAAGGCAGAAATTCCTGCAGAATTTTTACCTAACAAGGAAAAAGTTACTAAAAGTTGTCTTTTTGGAGTCCAAAAAGACATGATGCTTATGTCTTTTGTGCCTCGCAAAAACAAAACTGTAATTCTGCTTTCAACTTTACACGATAACGACGAAATACATCCAGACACTCAAAAACCACAAGTAATTATGGATTATAATGCAACTAAGGGGGGTGTTGATACAGTGGACAAAATGCGTGCAACATATTCAGCTTCTCGCATTTCCAGGAGATGGCCTTGTGTTATATTTTACAGTTTATTGAACATAAGTGGAATAAATGCGCAAGTTTTATATAGATTTTCGTGTCCTGATAATTGCCCAAAAGATCAAAGAATTTTTTTGAAAAATTTGTCGCTGAGTCTAATGAAAGAGCATCTTGTTTCAAGAGCTCAGCTAACCAATTTACCCTCAGATGTCGGCGCATTTCTAAAAGTTAGATATGGACAAACTGCAAATGAACACGAGGAAACAGTTCGTCTTTCAAAACGTGGAGTTTGTCGTTCTTGGACAACGGCATCCATGAAATGCGTTAAATGCAATTCTTTTACTTGCAAAAAACATTCACTTACTACAATTCTGTGTAACTCCTGTAATACAAACAATCAAGATGATAGTTTTTAACTGTATATTGATTTATTTGTTTACCTAGACTAAAAAGTAAAAGTGTAATTTCTGTTTTAATTTGTAAATTTTGCAAATAAATATGTTTATTTATTATTATTTGTAATATATTTATGTTTTTATAATTTACATTCAAGAAATATCAGATAACTCACATTTATCCAAATACATAAAAAATATGACACGCGCGCTATGATGTAGTTTAGGAAATGTTAAATATAGTAACACATTAGCATTGTGCACCATTTTGGACCCGCGATTTAAAACATTTGCTTTTAAGAACG